TTTTAGGTTGATATTATTTGGCTGGGGGGCAGAACATGGACCACATTTGTGAATTTAAATGGGCAAAGTGTGAACTAAAACAAAGTGAACGTTTACAGCTAAAAAAAAAAAAAAATAAAAAAAAAAAAAATAATAATAATTTTGCTTTAAGTTTGATGAAATAAATTTTCATAATGCAAGGGAGCAAATTCAGTAACAAAAGTAGTTTGCTAAAGAAATGAGTCATTTCCCCTGCTATATAAATATTTGTTTTAAAAAATTTAACCTCTGAACTAGACAACGTGCAATACGGACGATAGATCCACTGGCGTAACAAGGGTGGAGCGGACCGCCTCGTGACCAGTAATGTTGTTTTCTACATGCTTGACCGGCTGCAGACTACAGCAGAGTTGTTTATATATATTATTTTTTGGGGTTGGAGAGAGGCGCCAAAATTATATGCATAAGTCATCATATCATTATTATTACCATAACTATCGTCATTAGCATTTGTATTTGTATTATTATTAATTAAATGTCTTACTGTTAGAATAAATATTGTGATACATTTTAGTTCAGTTAGACCAGTGGCTCTCAACCTTCACAATGCCACGACTCTTTATTACAACCCCCACCCCCTAAACCATAAAATTATTTGTTGTTTTTTTCTGATGTTCTTAGACGACCCCTGAGTTAGGGTCGTTCGACCCGCCAAAGGGTCACGACCCATAGGTTGAGAACCGCTGAGTTGGACAAAAATTAAATAAAATATTGGAGGACCGCTTTGAACCTACGAGATCTTCTTAACATGTTGTCACGGTTGTCCTTGGGAGTCCATGAAATGGTATAATGGGGGGAGGGGGGATCTGTGACCTTCACGTAAATATGGTGTCCATGGTCTTCACTTGACAAGAATATGGGGTCCATGGTCTTCACTTGACAAGAATATGGGGTCCATGGTCTTCACTTGACAAGAATATGGTGTCCATGGTCTTCACTTGACAAGAATATGGTGTCCATGGTCTTCACTTGACAAGAATATGGTATCCATGGTCTTCACTTGACAAGAATATGGTGTCCATGGTCTTCACGTGACAAGAATATGGTATCCATGGTCTTCACTTGACAAGAATATGGTATCCATGGTCTTCACTTGACAAGAATATGGTATCCATGGTCTTCACTTGACAAGAATATGGTGTCCATGGTCTTCACGTGACAAGAATATGGTATCCATGGTCTTCACTTGACAAGAATATGGTATCCATGGTCTTCACGTGACAAGAATATGGTATCCATGGTCTTCACTTGACAAGAATATGGGGTCCATGGTCTTCACTTGACAAGAATATGGTGTCCATGGTCTGCACTTGACAAGAATATGGTGTCCATGGTCTTCACGTGACAAGAATATGGTATCCATGGTCTTCACGTGACAAGAATATGGTATCCATGGTCTTCACGTGACAAGAATATGGTATCCATGGTCTTCACTTGACAAGAATATGGGGTCCATGAAACAAAAACAATAATAAAGAACCCCTGCTGTACCCATCTCGACCCCTAAAGAACCCCTGCTTTACCCATCTCGACCCCCTCCATAACAGCGGCTGTTGCGATCGTAAAAAGTATTATCGTGTAACAGATTTACGGGCTCGGCTGACGTAACAACTAACACAAAAGTCGGGGGGTGGGGGGGAGAGTGTCACTGAAAGGGATCGAAGAGCTACATGAAAGTTCTAAGCACACGTCTCAACTTTTTGGACCATGACGGCCAGGTCAATGGTGTGATGTCGTGACTTAGGAAAATAAAAAATGGGGCCATGTTATGAGTCGGAGGACACTGACCTAGATCAGTGAAGAACACCACACATCCGTTACATTGTCAAAGGCTGTACCCTATTTTACTAAACGCTTTGGAAGCATTCATGGTGAATTCTGGTTGTTCACTTACCGCGCCGTCATTCCTTATGACTTGACCATGAAACGTGGAGCTTTGCGTTGCCTCTATCTAAGTACTTGACCATATCTCGGGACTTGACCATATCTCGAGACTTGTCTCTTTCTAGGCACTTGACCATAATTCGGGACTTGTCTCTATCTAGGCACTTGACCATATCTCGGGAGTTGTCTCTACCTAGGCACTTGACCATATCTCGGGACTTGACCCATATCTCGGGACTTGTCTCTTTCTACGCACTTGACCATATCTCGGGACTTGACCCATATCTCGGGACTTGTCTCTTTCTAGGCACTTGGCCATATCTCGGGACTTGACCCATATCTCGGGACTTGTCTCTTTCTAGGCACTTGACCATATCACGGTACCTGATCCAATGTCGGGACCTTTTTTTCTTGTCCGGAAGATTCAGACCCGGAGTCAAAACTTGCCTCCACGACTCTTCGTAATGAGAGGAGTCAGTGGAGCGTAGGAATTTATTTTTGTTTTAAAATCATGTCATTTTGAGAGTTAAATCTACGACATTCGTGTCTCTATTTAATTAACACATGCATCCCCCCCTCACACACACATTACACGCACCCCTACCCACCCTTGCACAAACATACAAGACGTGTGTAAAAAAAAGTGGGTTCACTGTCTATGAATACGCCACATAGTTACGGTTAGAGTGACACGAGTGCACTAAGGTGACGCGCCATTACGAATGACCCACTCCACCAACCTGGCTCTACACGCCATCCCCCACCCCCACCCATAATTCCCGGAGATGATTTCAATGAGAAATTCTTGTCAAGCCCACCCCCACCCCCCAACCTACCTTCCCCACCCCTACCCCCCAACACCCCCCCCCCCGACTCCATCCTGGACCATGATCCTCTGTCGGATTCGTGAAGCACGTTCAAAGCTTGAGATTGATTCATTTCCCATTGCACACAACGCTTCCACGACCATGTTTGTTTGTTTTTCTTATTTTTTTTTATTGCATTCATATCTAACAACTGGCNAATCGTACACCAGTTGAATATGGGCGTATCGATTACAAATTTATCGTAGGTCAAAGGCGCTACATGACTCGGTTAGGGGTGGGGGTGGGGGGGGGCTAGGTTAAGAAGACACTACCTAACTACATTGGACTTGGGTTGGAAGGTCAGGTTTAGAAGGTGCTACATGAATTGGTTAGGTGGCTACGTTAAGAAGGTGCTACCCTAATTGGTTCGAAGGTTGGGTTAAGAAGGCCCTACATTAATGGGTCAGAAGGTTAGGTTAAGAAGGCGCCACATTAATGGGTCAGAAGGTTAGGTTAAGAAGGCGCCACATTAATGGGTCAGAAGTTTAGGTTAAGAAGGCCCGACATTAATTGGTCACAAGGTTAAGTTAAGAAGGCCCTAAATTAAATTAATTTGAAGAGTGGAGATCAAACATAAACTCTGGGAGTCTAGGGGGGGGGGGGTACTTTTCGTAGAGATAAGAAATCTTCACAGGGGAGAAGAAGAAAACCTGAAGAAAGACAATGCAAAAAAAAAAATAAAGGGGACGTTTCGACCAAGCCTTCGACATCGTGGCGTAGGAAGGTGGTGCGGAGGTGCGGAGGGGGCGCGCACCCCCCCCCCCCC